AATCGATGTCGTTCGGTAATGGCTTGCGCGGCTTGTATATTATAGACGGCGCTATCGTAGAGTACATGGAAAGTGAGGAATAATGATACCAACATAACCGTTAGAAATACTACAGCTAATTTCGGACGGGAGACACCAACAACCAGTATGCAGTCGGTGTGCGAAGCATCAGGCCCCACTGGCCGCATCGCAGATTTTGGTAACCATCTGGGGAAGAGAGAGCAAAAAGCAAGAGATTAATTAATTAAAATAATGCGATAAGTGTTTTTTTTTCAAATATAAAAAAATAATAAAATTAATACATATAATTGATGTCAAAAAACCTTACGTATGAATATGTATGTTTATAAAATTGCTATAACTTTTTTTGCCCTATTCAACGCAGATTTGTTCATTAATGAATTGAAATAAATACTTTACTATCTATTTGGATTTTTTTTTGTATTTATGCATACACTAGGCGACAAACGAAAGTGTACAACTTGTTCTAATATAATATTCACAATCATTTTCATCTAAAATTTTTTGCAATAAATATTTCTGAAATATAGTTCATTCTATAATATAGACCATATAAAGATTCACACTTTATAAAAAGGTCACAAAAATTCAAAACATATTCATCGAAATGTTCAACTTTTTATTCAGAATTTATGGAAAACCTTCCAGTATGCAGTTTTTGAGCCCATTCAATGTTAGTCTGATGAAATGCAAGTTTAGTTTTTGAAAATACTTTTTTGTTGACGCATTATTTCACTTTTTCCATAAAAACAGCATGAATTTCTTATGAAATAAAATGCAGGAGACCGGTAGCAACAAAATTTAAAAAAACCAACGCCAGTTCTTGTAAATTGCACTTGTTATATATATAAAAAAAAACGCAAAAGCAGTCTCCAAAAAAATCTCAAAAATCAACGCGATTTTTTTAGCCGATTGAAACTTGCACTTCGTTAGACAAAAATCGAATGGGCTATAAAATTGCTTACTCGAAAGTTTTCTAGAAATTCTAAGTAGAGACTTTTGATGACATTTTTTTAATTTTTGTGAATTTTATATTGTTTATATTATAGAATGAACTATAATTCAGAAATAATTATTGCATAAAATTTTTAATGAAAATAGTTGTGAATATTATATTAGAACAAGTGTACACTTTTATTTGTCGGCTAGTGTATGTGCACTGCCGGCCACTTAAATAGTGCCCATTTTTGATCCTCAGTTTTGAGAATTTTCCTTTCGTTTATTTAATATTACTAATATTCTATAACACACCCCACCTAAAACCGTTTTTCAATCTCTAAGCAAAATTTATCCACAAAACCATCAAAAATTTCAAACTTAAAAAATTTAAAAATTCTGACTACGTTAATTTTTGAAAATTAAAAAAAAAAAAAAAAATTTGCGTAAAATTTTAAAACATAATTTAGATGGTTTTTGTTATAGAACAAGCTATGTTTAAAAAAAGAATGAATATTAATTAAACAAAAGGAAACCTGTAAATACTGAGGATCAAAAGAATGCGCTACTCAAGTGGCCAGCTCTGTATATACCGCTTCATTAAACTAACTACTTACATACATATTTATCTGATGAGTTTATCAAAGTAATAAAAAAATTGCCTGTCATTAATCTCATTACAGAGCAAAATCCCGATTGCGGTTCGAAATGACAGCCATTAAAGTATTCTTTGTTTTCCAACATACGTAAGTACATGTCTGTGTTCGTATGGAAAAGTAGCTTATGTCGAAAGGCTGGCTTTAGTATAAATCGGCATTCGCAGCATACGATTGCGAATGACTCACCGGCACTGAGCCGTTGAAAAACTTTTGGCAAATAAACGTGCAAGAAATAGTTCCGATACTAGCAAGTCAATATTCTTGTTAAGTCTCATCCAAAAATTCCTTGTCGTTTAAAGAATAAAGGGAATGCCGTATTATACTAAAGCCAGCGTTTCGACATAAGCTACTTTTCCAAACGAACACAGATATACACACATACATGTAGCTGTCCGAATTCTTGTGGTTTTAGAGATTTTTACATATAAATATCTTAGGGTGGTCCTTGAAAATACGAAAATATAAATTTTGTATGTGACACCACTTTATTTTGTTCCATGTACATATGTACGAAATAAGGATCCACGAAAATTTTATAATTTGAAAAAGTATTTTTGAAAATTTTAAATCTAAAAATTATTACACATTATTGTACACTATTCATATATGTTTATTCATAGCCATAGCCAAATGGATTCATCATGCAATATAAAGTGCCAATGACTGTAATTTGTTCACTTTTTTTGGAATAAGCGCTGCATTTTTTAAATTTTTCCTATGTTCTAAATTACACCGGATTAGAAATATTAATCGTAAAAAAATGCCATGAAACTCACATAGAAGAAAGCGTAAGTGTAGACTTCTTGAGCTCAAAAAGCATTTTGAATTTTTGCGATGGATAGGTTTTCGAAGTATTTTTAATTTTCCGGGCATAATTTCATTAAAAAAAAACCTGTTTTTGAGTACTTCTTTGGAAGGACAAGTTTATCAATATTACTCA